GAATGTGATCACAACAGGGCCAGGCACTGTGTTTTCCACCTCCAGATGCACTGGTAATGTGATCACAACAGGGCCAGGCACTGTGTTTTCCACCTCCAGATGCACTGGGAATGTGATCACAACAGGGCCAGGCACTGTGTGTACCATCTCCAGATGCACTGGTAATGTGATCACAACGGGGGTAGGAACTGTGTGCACCACCTCCAGGTGCAGTGGGAATGTGATCACAACAGGGCCAGGCACTGTGTTTTCCACCTCCAGATGCACTGGGAATGTGATCACAACGAGGGCAGGCACTGTGTGTACCATCTCCAGATGCACTGGGAATGTGATCACAATGGGGGTAGGAACTGTGTGCACCACCTCAAGATGCACTGGAAATGTGATCACAAAAGGGGGCCGGCACTGTGTGCACCACCTCCAGATGCACTTGGAATGTGATCATAGTGGGGGTAGGCACTGTGCACCACCTCCAGGTGCACTGGGAATGTGATCATAGTGGGGGTAGGCACTGTGCACCACCAGTGCACCAGTGTTCCAACACCTCCATCCCTCAGAAGAACCAAATTGCGTTTTTTAGCATTATATATACCTTTTCCACACAGTGCCTGCCCCCGTTGTGATCACATTCCTAGTGCACAATGAAACTATATATGTTGTTGTTTTTTTTTTTTTTTTTTTAGAAATAATTGACTGTAAAATTGGGAAGTTGTGTAAATGTAATGAAGTCCTCTGATGCGTACCATCAATAAATGGGGGCCGTCCTGCTGAATCGAAGCATAACGCAATCTCGTCGCCCAGTGGGTCAGTCCTGTTTGAGCTTCCCGGGCCGCCGTAGCGGATCCGTTCTTTTGGAGCCTCCCGGGCCGCCGTAGCGGATCCGCCTCCTAGTTTCGTTGTGTACAGCCTATGTGTACAGCAGTGACAGATCGCAAGTGTTGGATCTGCGTAGCAGCACGTCGCAGCTGAGTTATTGGCTACACCGAAACAATGCGGATCTGACCATGGTCAGAATAATAACCTGACTCACAGGCCACTGAACGGGGGTGAAACACGTCTCCTGGCTGCAATGGACGCTGGCGACCATAAGGTATACGGGGTTATATAATGTACTGGCGGTTTATTAACGCAGGCCTGCTTAGGAGGAGATTCGGAGTAGGTATATGGTGCTATTTAATTTGCAGACGACACCCTCATGTATGTGACCATGCCGTTTCGGGGCAGTATGCAGTACCTTTTCATACTGGGCAGTTTGGTTGGCTGTCTCGGTTTGCGTACGGAGATCGCCGCCTGCAACTTGATAATGTCTGAAGTATCTCTTACTCAACCATGTGTAAGAATATGCTTCGTTAGTTCCTGCTTAAATATTTGCATAATGTTTTTTGTCTAATGTAACGGGCCTGTTAAATGATGTCCAGTCCCTGGAGTCACACGAACGTTACGAATGACATGACGTGTATGCCAGTCTTAGCTGTCTTATGAGTCTTAGTGTTTCATGGTGTCATGCCTTTTTTTCCCTCCCGTCTTAAAATAGGTAACGTTTAAATAGAAATCTGTTTGGTGGCAAAGTGCAGCTGATAAGGGACTTCCCCTGCTGTCTTACTTGTTGAGCCGCATAAGTACTGCTCGTCTGACTGGTTTTACTTCATGCATTCAATTCCTTGGACATGTTTGCCTTGCTCGGGCTGTTTCACCCCCGCCACCCCAGTTACGGTAACCGATACTTCGCTTTGCCCAACTCTGCTTTGTATGTTAAAGAGAACTGCTTGCATCTTGTGTCTTTTGTATGGATGATCGGTAACAAGCAGAGGTACCTCGAAATATTCAGTTCAGGATTTCATATTTGGTAGTTTTTCCCACTGCATTAATAGAGTACCAAGTTTTTATCTTGTCTTTCATCCTTACTGCCCGACCTTTATAAACTTTTTTACATATGAATAGGGGTAATAGGGATCTTTGCGGTTCATCTGCGAGTTGGCAGCCAAGACAGACACGGGAAGACGATAATCATGCTTCTGTGACTGATATCTTATAGGGGTTCATCTTTGTACATAATTTTAAGGGTGATTTAAAAAATCAGCAGCTCACAGGTTGATGCTTGGGATGTCTGGGCTGGTTACAGGTCGGTGTCTCGTCACCCTGGCGAGCCCACCAGTCCCACTGGCTTGCATGTGTATCCCACGGTTAGACTAAAGAGGGCGAGACGGCTGCAGCACGCTCGGCCGGGTGTCTCCCACCGACTGTCCTTACGATCTGCTTTTTCACTAAGGTGGGGGCGTTTTCCAACCCCTGTTTATGCAGGGTGTAGTTTTGCGCTGTGCTACTCAACACTCTCTTTTTTTTAGTGTTTTAGTGTCTGGTTGCTTTTTAAAGCACTTTGTGTACAGACAATAGCCATTCTTTTCATTGTATTTCAACAATTATCCATGGCTGAAATAGCCACTATTGTTCACATTTCACCAGGGACATTGTTACCAGTATGATTTTTGAAAGCCTAGTTTGAGATTTTACTGGGGCTCAGGAAGTTTGGGTGCTGGGGGTGCCTCCAGCTCCCTGCAGCCTTATTTTGTGGATATCGCAGTACTCAGACAGGCTGCGGCCCAGTCTACACCTACACCAGCGTTTACCTAACGCTTTGTAGCCCCTCATAGCTAAAAAAAAAGTGAACTTCCACAAAACCTAGGTGATAAAAAGTCTGGTAAAACCACCCTCCAGTACATTGTATACGGACCGATGGATAAATAGATAAATAGAATGCTTTGTCATACTTTTCCAGTTCAGCGAAATTTCCTGTGAATCACCTCGAATGACTGTTAATAAAAGATTTTTTTTTATTTGAAAAATAAAAATTAAATATACTGTATAAAAAAAACAGAATATGCTGTGCAGAATATTTTAATAAGCAGTATATGGACACAGTACAATGCTTTGCGCATAAGCAGGCATTCTTCCACATGACTGGTAGTACTTTGCATTACACATAGTATTGCGCATGATGAGTAGTATTGCACATAACGTGCAATATTTCTGTGCCTGAGAGTTGCGGTGCATGGGCGGATGTTTAAAGTGAAGCGAGCCTGAGGGTTTCTGAGGGTTCACTTCAGTGATGGCCCTAGGGCAGGGGTGGGCAATCTTATCCACCAAGGGCCAGTGTGTATGCAGGTTTTTGGGATAACTTTTAGGTCAGTTGCTCAAATCCAGGTGTGAGGACTCTTCAACCAATCACTCTTCTAATTAGTAATCTAATTAGGGATTTGCAGTGAAATCCCGCACACACAACAGTCTGGATAAGATTGCCCACCCCTGCCCTAGTGAATAAACAGTTTTTGAGTCTGGAGGTGTGTGTTTATCGCTCTGTAGTGCCTTCTGGAGGGCGAGAGAGTTATGGCAGGGGTGGGTGGTCTCTTCCGGAATGTCTACGGCTTTGTGAAGGCACCGTGGTCTGAAAATGTTTTGTGAAGAGAGGGGATGGCCGGTTATTTTCTGTGTGCTGTCCCACTTGTCTATTGTTGGTATTGTTAGACCTCTTGGGTCTTGATAGTCCGTTCTGAGGAACCAATGACCTTTAGAACTGAACTGAACTTGAATGGAAGGTTTGGCAGACATTGTTGTACACTGTCAGAAAAGAGTACCAATCTGTACCTTTGAGGGGACAGTTACTCGTCACTGGGGCTGTACCCTCAAGGGTCTGCCAATTGTACCCTAGCTGTAAGTAAATGCACCTTTTAAGGTACAGAAATCAAACCTTTTTGTACCATTGAGGTACATTAATGTTGTTTGTACCTTGAGGAACAAAACTGTACCAGGGCTGTACCCTTTTTCCTGACAGTGTAGGCCTTCTGATCCCTGCTTTTGTTCCTGCACCTCAGGATGCCCTCAGGGTCCCCAACTTGATCCTGATCCTGAACATGAGCTCCTTGTCAAATCAGGGCCTTGTCAAATTTTGCAAGAGCATTTCTCAGACAGTACACCTTGTCCAGTGATGGTCGCTGTTGTGTAAATATAATTCAGACTATTTAAAGAATTTTATGTTTGTTTTTAATTACCAGACTTAGGAAAGTTTGTGATTATATTACTATTATATTCGCCTAACTGTACGACATTTAGCTGTCTGTCTTTTTTTTTTTGTTTTTTTTTTTTAAAAGAGTTGAGCATTTTTTGGCTATTTTCTGATTTGCTTTCCCCTGTAATTGACTGCAGCCTTTCTCAAAGACATGGTCCCTCTGCAGCATGTTTACCATGTAAACAGTAAATGGTTCCAGCAGGGATTTTCCCCGTGGGAGTTTGCGTGACGCAGCGCTGAGGGGATTTTGAGTTTGTTGTGCATCTGCTATCCGCGCTCGATTCTCATTGCCCCTGAAAATGAACCTTAACCCACCAAATGAAGTTCCCAGCTTCTGTTTGCTGTCCTGATCACAGCATGTCCCTCTTCACTATAATGTTTGAAAAATTGAAAGAACTTTTTCATCAAGGTGAAATAGTTGGGCTTCGCTTACTACTGTATTTAGCTAATGCTTTCTGATGCCGCATTTGCCAGGTAAAGCTGCCACGGCTGTTATTGCTGTTCACGGCTGCTGTTATCAGACACAGATTCCTGGCCTGGCATTTATTACCCTGGATAGACTTTTTGCTTGACACAGTTGGAGAATTAGTTTTGGGATCCCTGCTGATTATGAACCGTAAGCTTATTGGCGCTGTAGGAGGTTCCTTGGGTGCCAGCGGATGAGGCACCGCGGTGATGTTCCCTCCTTGATGGGCCGCCCTGCGGGGCGTGCCTGTCCGAGGCAGAGAAGCTGGGTGCCACCGGCTTTCAGGAACTGGTGCTTGCACTCCTCTGAGTTGCGAGTAAACATGCGGCTGCCTGACCCGGCCCGCAATAAACACAAGCATGTGGACGGTCGCGTTCCTGAAGCGCGTGTTTCTGTCTTCATCCACATTGTGTCATGCGACCGTGACGTTTGTGACGTGTTTGGAAATAGAGAGTGTGGGTATTTGGGCAGCACTGAGGATGCAGTTTCCCTGCAGTTGAATGCAGTGGGGATTCTCCAGCTGTCGCCCTACTGTGCTGAGTATGATGCCTCATCTCAGGTTTTTTGTCTCATGTTCTTCTTAGTGTGGTCATGTTTTTCCTCCCGCGCAGGCTGTGCAGCTGTCGGCCGAGGTGGAGCCCTTCGTTCCAGATAAGAGGGGCCTGGACCCCAGCCTGGTGGCCATGGGACTGTCTGGTGAGGTGGGCGGGGCTGCCCCTGAGGGCCCGCCCATTCCCAGCTATCTCATCACCTGCTACCCTTTTGTCCAGGAGAACCAGCCCAGCAGGTACGGCCTTGGTTCCAGTTTGCTGAGGGAGGGTGTCTCAGTGCTGTGTTCCCTGCTCTCATGACTCGGTCGCAGGCTTCCTGAGCTCCGTGAAAAGGAGCGTAGCACAGGCAGTGCTTGTTTTGATTGGCCGGACCTGGGTGGGCGGGGCCTGGCAGCCAAAACAATCACTCAGCAGGAGCAGTAACACGGCGAAAATGTCCACTTCGTTTCTGCCAGTTGAACGGACATTTGCGGGGTCGCTGTTTGTAGAGATTGCCCACTTTCTGACCCTCGGCTTTGGGCTCAGTGATTGTAGCAGCTGCCTTGCGTGCTGACGAGCGCAGGGGAGGTTGCGGATATGAGCGTGTGTGATCCATGTGAGGTCTGACTCTGATGTGCCCCCCGGCCAGGCCCCTCCCCCTGTATGGTGGCGACAGCAGGTGGGTCCAGCCCAGCCCCAGCCACAGCAACCCCTACATGGCCTACCACCTCCTGTCCCCGGGCCAGACCACAGTGCCCAGCGACTATGCTTACTACCACCTGGTGCCTGCATCCTGCCCCCCCCTGCTGGGCTTCTACCCGTCTTTCCCCTCTGGCTATGGCGCCGCCCCGGTGGCAGCACATAGTGCTGTCATTACGGACTGTGGCGACCTCCCCTTGGCGCTGGGGCAGGCCGTCCCCGCAGCCAATCAGAGGGCAAAGGCCATCTCCCGGGCGACCGCACTACCCAAGGTGAGCGTCCAGATTGTCTCTGAGGGTGATCTTGCGAGAGAACATCGTGACATTGTGGCCTCATCTGGGTCTCTTCGGACTCTAGCAGCAGCCGATGTACCAGCCCCAGAGAGGCAGGAGAGCTCCGAGTCGAAGCGTGGTGGCCCAGAAGGAGGTGCCGACCTTCAGCCCAGACGGTCGGCCCAAAGCCATCATGCTGGTGGACGCTGCTCAGCAAACCGGTAACTGGGAAGGGGGTCTGTCCTGGGGGTCTGTCCTGGGGGTCTGTCCTGGGGGTCTGTCCTGGGGATCTACCTCAGCAGAGTCTCCGTTTAATCCTGTGTGTCGTTCGGTGGCTGAGGGTGCCGTCAACACGCCCCGTCTTTTCTGGCACCCTAACTGTCAGTTCGTTAAAGGTCTATTTTTCTTGGGGTGTAATGGATTTTGCTACAGGGCTTTCTGGGAGTGATGCGATGAGGGCAGGATCGGTTGGGGCGTGTGCCTACCCTTCAGAGAAACTCTGAGGTGGCCTCGCACACGCCCTGTGCCGCATTCTCTCCGTATTCACCCTATAACCTTATGAGTTTTACTTTATAGGCTGTTCTGTTGACATGTGACCGCGCCGCTTATGTTTTGTAGCTCGGTGGATGACTGGGTTTCCCGCCATAAACGCTTCAAGAAAACCCAAGCAGTTGAAACATTTGTGCTGGTTTATTTGTCGCTCATTGAAGAATATAGCGTCATCGGGGTGGGGGCCGACGGAGATGGGCGTAAACTCAGTGTCCCCCTCCCCCGATGCTGCACTCCTCAGATTTACCAGGGGCGGTGGATGGGGCCAGTGCGTCGCCGTGGAAGAGCCGGGCACGGCGGAGGCGGGTGGGGCACCTGGGGTTCGAGCCGTCTGGGGAGCAGGGCGCTAGCGAGGCCGACATTGACAGCGACAGCGGGTACTGCAGTCCCAAGCATGTCCAGGCAGCTGCTGCCTCCCACGGTGCCACAGCGGTACGCCCCCTAGTGTTGGCAATGGCTCTGTCTTGTGTGTAATTAGTGATTGTTAATAGCCAAAGTTAATATGTGTCTCTTTTACATTTTTACAGGGGGTGGAGGCTGCAGTGATGATGGGTGAGACTGAAAAATACACTGAAATATGTACAGGCATCACTTTTTCTGGCTTGCATTGTTTCACTTCTGTTTTTTCCCATGTTTGTGTTGCTCTGCAGGTGTCAGCTGGCTGGGTGTGGCCTCCCAGAGGCCCTGGGGGGACAGGAATGGTGTCTGTCACAGGGAAGGACGAGTGCCATCTGAACAGAGAGCCTATTCACAGGTAATCCACCTCCAGAGGTTTGCGGCAGCCAGTCCAGAGCAAACACCCTGTACCTCCAGCTTCCAACTGAGTGCTCTGACTCCCCCACATGCAGTGCTCCTCCCCTGACTCCCCCACGTGCAGTGCTCCTCCCCTGACTCCCCCACGTGCAGTGCTCCTCCCCTGACTCCCCCACGTGCAGTGCTCCTCCCCCGAATTCCCCATGTGGCACTCTCCTCCCCGGCTCCCCCCTATGCGGCGTGTTCCTCCCCTGACTCCCCCTGCCCGGTGCACTCCTCCCCCGACTTCCCCGTGCGGCACACTCCTCCCTGGCTCCCCCCAATGCGGCGTGTTCCTCCCCTGACTCCCCCTGCCCGGTGCACTCCTCCCCCGACTTCCCCGTGCGGCACACTCCTCCCTGGCTCCCCCCAATGCCGCGTGTTCCTCCCCTGACTCCCCCTGCCCGGTGCACTCCTCCCCCGACCTCCCCGTGCGGCACACTCCTCCCTGGCTCCCCCCAATGCCGCGTGTTC